TCGCCCAGCCTCCCGCCCCACACGCGGCCTTACCGAGGCACTGCCCCACCGGGGTGCTGAACGGGTTCCCCAGGAGGAACTCCATCTTGAGTGGACAACACGCAGTCGCCCGGGCCCCCTGTCTGCCACCGAGGTCTCAGCGGTAACCCGCCGGACTCCCGTCCTGACTGACACTTGCCCCCTCCCCACCCTCTGGAACGCCGAGCGCCGGGACCTTGGCCCCGCCCCCTTACCGCGTCTCTATTGGGGGACACCTACAAAGCCCGCCTCCGATTGGCCCTTACACCTCCGTCAGCAAAGCCCCCACCCACCCCGCAGCGTCCGATTGGGCCGAGGAGCGAGCTAGGTCACCGGAGTCCCTGTCAGCTGTGGTGGCACCTCCCCTGGCCCGCCCCCGAAGAGGAAGTTGCGCATTTTGATTCCTCAGAATATTGGTCAATCTAAAGGATTCTTACTATTATTGGACAAAAGACGAGTCAATCACTCAAATAGCAGGACGGAACAGAGGCGAATCTAGGAATATCCCCGCCCATAGAAAGTGCTGATTGGAGAAACATTTGTTTTCTCTACGGCTGGTTGGTGTTAGGAGTGTTTCCCCACCCGGAGATGTGGTCACGTGACCTGTCAACTTTCACCCAGGATGTCTCCCTCCTGACTTCCCGTTAGCAACCAAGTCGCGGCGCTTGGTTCCCCAGCAACCGGGAGACGCGTCAGCTGCGTGGAAGCAGCGGAGTTCCCAGCGCTTGAGCAGGTGAGACCTGGGAGCTGAGGCTCAGGGAGGACTCGCAGGGACAGACAGCGCCCGACTTAACTCTTTCCTGTGACCCTTTTCTCGGAGAACGCCGTCCCGGCCCTTCTCATAAAATGAGCACGTAGGTCCTCTCCCAGCCACTTTACAGTCGTGCTGACACAGCCAAGACCCTTTAGTCCTGGGCTTATCAAGCTTTTGAATAAAAAAGAAATACTAAGGGAGCATTTCCCGAGGGAGCAGGGCTAGAATCGACTTTTAAGGGGTTCCGTCTTCCAGCCTCCTTTCATAAAAGAGAGGTACCCTGTCCACTGATAACTTTTCCCAGAATTTAGCCATCATATCTGACCTCATAACTGTCAAATGATTTCATCTTGGTACTGTATAAACTGCTTTGGATGTGAATACAGATACTCAGGTTCTGCATCTGTCTCTGTCAGTAATTCATTGTATGACTTTGGACAAGTTCCTTTCCCTCCCTGGAGCCTCAGATTCCCTAGCTGGGAAATAAGGGCATTAGGATTTCCTTTTTTATGGCCTCCGGAGCGTACATGTACTTAAATAATGTTTGTGCACAGTAAGCATTCAGTAAGTGATTGATTTTATTCTTTTAAAAACAATTTTTGTTCAGTATTTATTTATTTATTTTTAAAAATGGAGACGGGGTCTTGCCATGTTGCCCGGACTGATCTTGAACTCCTGAGCTCAAGCAATCTTCCCACCTCGGCCTCCCAAAGAGCTGGGATTACAGGTGTAAGCCATCTCACCCAACCAATTTTCCCAATTTTCTTCTTATCAATTTATGGCCAATAGGGACTATAGTTTTCAGATCCTGTTGACCCCAGGTTATCGTTTCCCAGGAAAGTTCTGGATCTGTTCTCTGTGACGAGGCTACTTCGTTGACAGTTGTGTAAAACTCTGCTGCTTTCCACAGCTCCAACCTCTCTGGTCTTCAACAACACTATCATCAGGTAAGTCAAAGGGGACCCAGGTTGGGTGGTAAACTACTAAGATCCCCATAGAGGAGGACTGTTTGGGCCTTGGCCCTGAACCCATGACAACTGTGAGAAACATTGTGAGCTGTGGCAACCATAGTCCCGAGTACCCTGGGTACAGTTGAGTCATGATTAGGAAAATGGACTCTGCCGTATGCTAAGTGTATGAAGTTGGGCATGTTAATTAACCTTTTTAACTAGCTTCTGTTTTCTTATCTGGATATTGGTGATTATTAGCCCTACATGGAAGTTAAGTTTCTAGAAATTTCTCCCATTCACATCTTGCTAACACCCTGGTCATCTCTCACCTCAGTACTTTTGCAATTCTCAGTACTGCTGCTAGAATGAGTTCTTAAAAACTAAGATCTGATCACATTGCTGCCCTTATTTTTTTTATTTTTTGAGATGGAGTTTCGCTCTTATTGCCCAGGCTGGAGTGCAGTGGCATGATCTCGGCTCACTGCAACCTCCACCTCCCGGTTTCAAGCGATTCTTTTGCCTCAGCCTCCCAGGTAGCTGGGACTACAGGCATGCACCACCATGACCAGCTAATGTCGCTGCCCTTATTAAGCCCTAGGTGCTTTCCAGGGGTTCTAGGATAATAACAGAACTCCCATAGACCTCTCCAACCTTGCATCACTTCAGCCAAAGGGCAACACGTCTGTTCTCTCCCACCTCAAGGGCCGTGCCACAAAGTTATCTCCTCCTTCTTTCCTACTTGTCCTTCAAATCAGCCCTGTCTTCCTTGGCCAGGCCAGGTGCCCTTAATGTACGATTTCATAGTTCCCTACACCTACAAATTGTCATGGTTTATAATTAAGTAGCTGTATTATTGTTTGATTCATGCCTGAAGCAGAGGTAAAAATCCATCTGTTTTATTCACAACATGTAGCAGTTCCTCACTACCCGTGTTTGGACTAAATACGTGATCTCACACAAATGCAGGAGGGAGGAATTATCCACCTTTTACAGATGGGAAAGCCAAGGCTTAGATAGGTGAAGTGAGTTACTAAAAGATGCACAGTAAGGATCCAAATGCTGCCCTGATGTGCTTATAAAATAGCATATGTAATAACAATCCCACATTTCCTAGCATAGCAGTTGCTGGGCTTGACTGAAAGCAAACTTGATCTGTCACAGGTACCAAGGCCCTGATGAAGTAAGAGGGATAAGTCAGTTAAAGTTTTGAAATCAAATCAAAATTAAGAGTCATTTCCCAAAGTATAGCACCTTTTTTTTTTTTTTTTTTTTTTTTTTTTTTAGATGGAGAGATGGAGTCTCGCGCTCTGTCGCCAGGCTGGAGTGCAGTGGTGTGCGCTCTCGGCTCACTGCAACCTCCAACTCCCTGGTTCAAGCGATTCTCCTGCCTCAGCCCCTCGAGTAGCTGGGATTACAGACATGCGCCACCACACCCAGCTAATTTTTGTATTTTTAGTGGAGTCAGGGTTTTACCATGTTGACCAGGATGGTCTTGATCTCCTGACCTTGTAATCCGCCCACCTCAGCCTCCCAAAGTGCTGGGATTACAGGTGTGAGCCACCGCGCCTGGCCAAAAAAAAAAAGCCAAACACTTTGCAGAAAATATCAGCCAAATATAACACATTAAAATTCCCCCAAAGACAAGTTGATGACAAGTTATGGGAAACCTTAGGGGAAACCACTACACAAGAGTGGGGAGCTAGAGAGAGAGGCCGAGACCTGGAACTGTCTTTGGGGGTAGAATCAGTCACCCCAACGAGGTGGAGCCAGTGTGAACAGATTGGAGAGAGTAGGAAGAAAAGGACCAAGGTCTTGGGAGGACGGAAGGCACAGGTGGAGAAGGGGTAGGGGTTGAAGGGTGTGGAGGCTATGCCTCCCCTGGAAGCAAGAGAGAAGTGTGCACAAGAGCTCATTGGGACATTTTATGAGGGACAGTTCAGGGCAGAGGATGCATATTTGCAGAAGCTGGATCCAAGTGGATGGTTGGGTAGGAAAGAGGAGGGCAGTCTTAGAGGGAAGTCTCTAAGACCAGGTAACAGGATTGTATGGCCCAACCTGGCTTTTCAGCGGACACCATCAGCCCTGCACCAGGGCTCCAGCAGTGCCCAGTGGAATGAAAAGCAGAGCACAGGGGCTGCCTAGCATCAGGGGCCAGCAGGGCAGAAGGACAGGAGGTTCAGGGAGGCCCGGATGCTGGGGAGGCATGTGGACAAAGATAGGAAGTAGGGCCAGCAGGGAGGCAAGAATCAGGGGCGGAAAGTGGGGGAAAATATCCCTCCTGGATGTCCTCACCAAGAGGGTTAAGGATGAGAATGTGGTCCAGCCACAAACAGCCACTGGAGTCAGCCTCACAGTGTGATTGACCAAATCTACAGATCCCCGCTGTGCTGTGGTGTCTCGGCCATTTCCCCCTGGACCATTAGTAACAGAATCTACTGGAAGCCGGGCATGGTGGCTCATGCCTGTAATCCTAGCATTTTGGGAGGCCGAGGCAGGTGGATCACCTGAGGTCAGGAGTTTGAGACCAGCCTGGCCAACATGGTGAAACCCCGTTTCTACTAAAAATACAAAAAAATTAGCCAGACATGGTGGTGGACGCCTGCAATCCTAACTACTCGGGAGGCTGAGGCAGGAGAATCACTTGAATCCAGGCGTTGCAGTGAGCCGAGACTGTGCCATTGCACCCCAGCCTGGGCGACAGAGCGAGACTCTGTTTAAAAAAAATTAATTAATTAATTAAAAAATAACCTACTGGAGCTAGCTTAAGTAACAGAGGATTTCACGTGAGAAACAGGAAACTCTCATGAGGCCTAGACCTAGGGACATTAGGGACTGGAAAGCCTGCAAGAAGGAGGCAGCCTCTGTCTGTGTCGATCTGTCTGTCCTTTGTCGTTTGTTTTCTGGTTCCCAGGTTCCCATCTCTGCTTTTCTCTGTGCATCTGCCTCCTCCCCCTCTTGCTCTCTGCTTAACCCAGTCATTCCACACTCCCTATTTCTACCCAGCTCAAGCAGCCAGCTCCGATGGGCACTCTTATTCCATAGCCTCAAGTTCACATCTCCCACGGGGAGGATGTGAAGGGTCAGCCTGGGTCTCCTCTGCACCAGGAGAAGCTTGTGGTGTGGTGGGGGGCGTACACACATGACTGCCTGGAGGGGATGAGGTGCTCAAGGAAGAGGAGCTGCAGACTGACAGGCCTGGCTGGGGCTGCCCAGGGAGCACAGTCCGTGGTTGGTACCCACAAGCCCAAATGAGGATGGGCACACAAAGTCAGAGGCCTGACACAGGGCCACAGTCATAAGATGAGCCAAGATCACAGGCTAAGGAGACCAGTGTGGACACCAGTCTAGTGGGTCCAGCGAGGGTCCCAGCTGTGGCTATAGGGTCAAGGGATGAAACCCTGTGGACAGGCCCAGGTGGTTGCCAGGAAGCCCTGGAGCATCCTTGGTGTAAGTATACAAACCCCGAGATGCAGCAGACCCAGGGCCGGGAGTAGGGCATTCCTCAGAGTGCCAGTGGCCACAAAGACACTGTAGGGGGTAACCTCAGCCAGACCCTGCCCTGAAACAGAGCAAGAAGCAGGCTGTGAAAGAGGAATGTGGTGTTTTTTAGGGAAAACGTGAGAGAAGATGAACCGGCTGTGTGACTCGATGGAGCCGAGGGTGATGGACGATGACATGCTCAAGCTGGCTGTCGGGGAGCAGGGCCCCCAGGAGGAGGCCGGGCAGCTGGCCAAGCAGGAGGGCATCCTCTTCAAGGATGTCCTGTCACTGCAGCTGGACTTTCGGAGTACGTATCCAGGGTTCAGGAGTGGTGGCCAGGGTGGGGCCCTCCCTGGCTTTCTCTGCTCCATCCTCAAGCCCCAGGATTCCACACAAAGTCCATGGTCAAAGTTCCCACATCAGCATTAGGGCCTACCCAGGTTAGAAGGCATAGGAGCATCACAGATGTTTGTAAAGCATCATGCTTAGTGTCTTCATCATTTGAATACCCACAATACCCCTGATTCTGAATAAGAATAGAAAACAAGATAAAATTGTCCCATGCCAAATCTAAGTGAGCCCTCAAGACTATGCTGTTTCCGTCACACAACTCCACGTGGGCGTCCTTGGAGTGGGGGTCCCTGGCAGGCAGAGCCTAGGAAATGCCACGTAGCCAGAAGCAGAGGGTAGGAAGTGTGGGAGAAGGAGGGAGAGTGGGCACTGGGAGGGCAGCTTTAGGGAAGGGGTCACCAAAGACAGGCTGGTAGCAGGAGGGGCACAGGCCCATGAGGCAGGGAGGCACGTCAGGAATGGGAAGTTATGGCTCAGGACCAGGCGGACCCTTACTGCTTCAATGTCCCGTCTGTGAAATGGGATGGCTGTCATCCCTGTCTCAAGCATTGGATGGGGGGACAAGGTGAGACAGCACGTGCACAGTGCCTGGCTCGTACAGGAAGGCCAGCAAGCTGCGGCACAGTAAGTCAAGGCAGAGGCAGTACGAGGGCGGTGAGAGAGGTGGGCAGGGATCCTGAGACCCCCCTTGTATCGTGTGCAGGCAAGGCCACAGCAGAGTGACCTGGTCTGATTCATATTCCTGCTCTGTCTTGGGGCCCCTACGCTGGTCGGCATCCAGTCACCAACAAGGAGGTATTGAGACCCTGCCTCAGTCCAGCCCTGCTGCCAGAGCCAGGGACACGACAGTGGGCAAGTCAGGCATGGCCCAGGCACAGCCCCACGAAGTCCACAGGCTGCTGGGGCTGACCACCCAAACAGGGAGGGCCCTGAGCCGCAGCCCCTAGAGGGGTAAAGGGGCACAGAAGAGGTGCGGCAGGAAGGGGCTTTTGCAGCTGACCGCTTTCCCTGTTTCCCCTCCCCCACCTGAGGTTCATGCAGCCAATATTGAGCACCTGTCTGTTACATGCCAGGTACTGTTCTAGGCCCTAGGGATTCAACTATGAGCAAAAAAGACAAAAAGCCTTGTCCTCATGGAGCTGACATTCAACTTGGCAGGGGACAAAGAAATAAAATGAAGAAGGAAAATAATACTATTTGCTAAAGGTAACATGTGCTGTGGAGGCAAAAAGGAAGGAAAGGAGAAAAGGGAAATTGGGGGTGGAGTATAGCGTTTTATAGGGTGGCCAAGGGCTTCACCAAGAAGGTAACAATTTAGCAAGGAGGTATTTAGCAAGGAGGTAGGCAAAGGAGAGAGCCGCTGTGCAGATTCACCAGGGAAAGTGGAACAGCCAGTGCAAAGGGCCTGGGGCAGGCTAGACCCCACCTGATCAGCCCTGCTGAGGAAGCCAGTGTGGAGACAGGTCAGGGAGGTCATGGGGTCAGCTGCTGTCAGCTTGGAGCCAATGGAAGGTGTTTGGCTCTTACAGTGAGTGAGGTGGGGACCCCAGGAGGGTCCTGAAGAGAAGTGGGACAGGATGGGACTTAGGATTTCACAGGACCCTGCTGGCTGCGTGAGGATAGACTGTGGAGGCCAGGGGCTGAGGCAAGGATCTAGTAAGACGGCCACTGCTGTACTCCAGGGAGCGATGGCCACAGGCCCGGCCGAGGTGGTGGCCACGGAGGCAGATTTAGTGTCTTTGCTGAAGGTTAAATCGGCTTTTTTGGCAGTCCTGTCATGCGGGTAACTTATTTAGAGCTAACTGCCAAGTACATCCTGATTTGTTGTGTTGTTTTGGCTTCTCCTCCTGAACTGCTGACACCTAGGAAAAAGCCAGCGTGCTGGCATGTGTGGCAGAGCACCAGGTGTGCAGGAGCCACAGGGGGAGTGCTACTGCTGGGGGGCTGTGAGATCAGGGCGAGAAAAGGCACCTGGAAAATCCAACCCAGGGATGGGAGGTGGCTGGGAGGCTGGGGCAGAACTGGCCCCACCCTGGAAGAACAGGTGGGAATTGTGGCCAGTATCGTTCTGGGAAATCTGGCCACAAACAGGGAGCTGGAGAACAGGCACCAGTCCCACCTAGCCCTGGGAACCCAGGAGAGGTGCAATGCAGCAATCCAGCTCTAGGGGAAGGGCCGTCCCACCCAGCCCTGGGAACCCAGGATAGGCGCAAGGCAGCAATCCAACTCTAGGGGAAGGGCAGTCCCACCCAGCCCTGAGAACCCAGGAGAGGTGCAATGCAGCAATCCAGCTCTAGGGGAAGGGCAGTGGGCCCCTTGGGACCTGGGTCAGAGAACCCAGTCCTCCCCAGACCTTTGTGCAGGGAGGGGAGCTAGGAGGGGTTGCCCACTTTCCCAGTGGGACTTTCACAACCTCACAGGCAGGCTCTGCCCCTCTGAATGAATATTGAAAATGCAGCTGGACTGTATGGTGTTTTGGTTTTTGTTTTTTGTTTGTTTGTTTTTGTAGAGACGGTTGCTCAGGTTGGAGTGCTGGAGTGCAGTGGCGCGATCTTGGCTTACTGCAACCTCCACCTCCCGAGTTCAAGCAATTCTCCTGCCTCAGCCTCCTGAGTAGCTGGAACTACAGGCACATGCCACCACGCCTGGCTAATTTATTTTTTATTTTACTACAGACAGGGTGTCACCACATTGCCCAGGCTGGTTTCAAACTCCTGAGCTCAGGCAATCTGCCCACCTCAGCCTCCCAAAGTGCTAGGATTACAGGTATGAGCCACAGTGCCCGGCTTTTTTTTTTTTTTTTTGAGACAGAGTCTCGCTCTGTCGCCAGGCTAGAGTGCAGTGGCGCGATCTCGGCTCACTGCAAGCTCCGCCTCCCGGGTTCAAGTGATTCTCTTGTCTCAGCCTCCCAAGTAGCTGGGACCACAGGCGCCCGCCACCATGCCCTGCTAATTTTTGTGTTTTTAGTAGAGATGGGGTTTCACCATGTTGGCCAGGATGGTCTCGATCTCTTGACCTCGTGATCCCCACGCCTTAGCCTCCCAAAGTGCCGGGATTACAGGCGTGAGCCACCGTGCCTGGCCACCAGTTTGTATTTTTATTATTATTTTTTTTAATGGTATGAATCTCGTTTATTGAAAACATTATATCTCACCTTTCTCAAATTGAAGACTGCAAAAAATAAAAGCAGTGCTTTATTGAGTTGTCATTGACCTCAGGAGCAGCAGCGCTGCCTCTCCATGCTCCAGGAAACCGCGGCTCCCGTGTGCCACATCTATCCCACCTCACTTTACAAAACAGTCCTGAAGCTTAATCAAATAAAACTATTGTACATTAGAAAAAGACAGCTGGGTGTAGAAAAGCCAGGTGTGGCGTTCCCTTTAAGCAAAGGCTGCTCCGCAGTTGGGGCATCTTCACTTCCTCAAGGCAAAATAGCAGATGAACCCAAAGGGGAACAGGATGATGGCCAGGAAGATTCCCAGGAAAGTGAAGCAGTCCTCCAGCACCCTGTCCCTGCAGATGGCACAGCCTCTCATGATGACAATGGCATTGGCAGGGTACCAAGTGATAGTCCGGCTGTGGCCGTTGTAGACCCTGGGGTGGTGGGTGGGTATCCCTGTGATGACATAAGGGGAGGGTGGACAGCAGCAAGGGGTGGGCAGCAGGGATGACGCCGTAGCCATGCGAGCTGAGTGCGTAGTCGCCCTGGCCAGCCCCTAGGTTGTAGGTGGGCAGCCACTCCCGCAGCAGGGGCTGTGGTCCATGGCAGCCCAGCTCAGGTCAGTCGGTCCTGGTAGGGGACGCAGTGGGGAACATGGCAGGGATGCAGCAGACTGGCCGGCTCAGGCTCTTCTGAGGCGCAACGCCTTAGCACCAATTTTTATTTTTATTTATTTATTTAGAGACAGAGTCTCTCTTTGTCACCCAGGCTGTGGTACAGTGGTGCGATCTTGGCTCACTGCATCTCTGCCTCCTGGGTTCAAGTGATTCTGCTGCCTCAGCCTCCTGAGTAGCTGGGACTACAGGGATGCCAGCTAATTTTTGTATTTTTATTATAGAGATGGTGTTTATCCACGTTGGCCAGGCTGGTCTCAAACTCCTGGTCTGAAGCAATCCACCGGCTTCGGCCTCCCAAAGTGCTGGGATTACAGGTGTGTGCCACCGTGCCCGGCCACAAGACCAAATTGTTTTGGTTTTTTTTTTAAGATGGAGTCTCACTCTGTCGCCCAGGCTGGTTCAGTGGCATAATCTAGGC